GGGGCCAACTGGCCATCATACACCATACCGTGACTATTAACTGTGGTGTGCTGACCTCTGGGGAGCTGAAGCTCGTGCTGGATTTCTGGGGAAGCCTAGGTAATTGTGGCCCGGCGATGTGGTAGTCCAGAGAAGCACAAACCATATTTGAAGGAACCCGCACTCTACGGACGCAGCCAGAGGTCTCTTTGTCATTTTCCCAATGGTATCTTTAATCATGAATGCAAGGTAGCTACGCAAGCATGTAGACTCGCCGGGAGGGAAAAAAAAATGAGCCTAGGAGACATGGAAAGAGCGTCGTCATGGTTTTAGTGCGGAACGACTGAACATTGTTTAGATATTTCAGATTGTGGTTGAATACATCCATCACCTCGGTCGTCATATATCATCACGGGTTGCATAACGTTGATGCACTCAATATCCAACACATACTACGAGGCTTTATTAGGAGGATGAGGAGGTTGGCCAACGTCGAGCAACATTCTCAACATCCTTGTGTTCTGCATCTTATCAATAGTAGTATAACACAGGACAGACACGACATTCTGGAGAAGAATATCGTAGAGAACGAGATCCCCCTTCTCTTTTTAATGAATTTAACACAGTAATTCCCGTCTCACATAGGTTCTTCAATTCCCACGTTATTTACAACAATAATGTTCTCTGTACATTCAAAGGCTTCCAGATTCGCTGAGCATCTGTATGTTTTTGGTGTCTATCCAGATGTCAAAGGAGGGAGAGTTATAGAAGTGACTGCGCGGTCAGGAAATGGAATCCCATCCAGGGACTAAATGTTTCATTTCTTCTCAATTTCCATACTTTATCAGCATCCATAATTTTATAAATCATGCATTTGTGCTCAATGAATATAGAACCTGTTCGGTAAATTTGGTGATGGCGTAGGGATATTGCACCACTTGTCAGGACCACTATATATATGCCTGCTCGGACTGTCGAGGACGCAACATGCTGAGACATTGTCGCGAGACACTGTTATATTCTTTGATCATTATTTTCCAGCTGGATAGTAGAACTGTTTCTGTAACGCCCTAGACTAAGCAAGTACCAACTACTTTTGAAATCTACCAGGTATATACAGCTCCCTGGATCAGGAGCCATAAACTGTGCGCAAAAATGCGTCGTGACCTAGACAGATGAATGCAGATGCACAGCAGCTCCGAGATCGCAGGAGCCCATACAGAAGGAGACGCAAAAGTGGTAAAAGCGAAAGCAGCCAGTCACAAGTGCCAACTTGAACACATGCCAGAACGAGAGGCCATGAAGCCATGTCCAAGAGAGAGAGAGGCTGCAACAGAAATGCAATGAGCGGGACCCGTCACTCTCTCCTGCCTTTGCAGCTTACAGCCGGTATGGACGCAGGTCCAGCTCAGGCAAAAAAAAAAAANAAAAAAAACCCAGGGCTGCCTTTGGTTGGTTTTTGGCGAATCGCCGTTCCGCCGCCGGTGTCGCGTGACCAATCCTCGGGTTGCCTTTTTTCCCCCCATGTAGCCAAGAAAGAAGTAAGAAAGCCTTGGGGAGTGGTCTGCAGGGAGCCGCAAGTACGATCTGCGGGCTTTGGGCTGGGCTGGGCGTCAGTTTCCAAGCAATCCCAGCAACGTCTTTCAACATGTGCATGTTCTTTCTCGATCGCCGTCACCGCATATTCGACAATCTCATCATCAACGTTGACCTTGGTGGGAATAGTCATGTGTATTTCAGGAATAAAACATGAAAGAGAAAGTCTTTTGGAATCAGTGGACTTGTCTTCCCCCCCCAGCTTTTGGTAATACATAACTATTTCCTGCTATTTCCGCCAAGAAAGCCCAATCCTTTATCAATGCTCGGATCGAGCCGCCCAATGTATCACCGCCAGGTCGCCATGGGTCACCCCTCCCCCTCAGACCGACCCCAGGAGAGAAGAGGCAAGGCTCTGCAGTGTACCGTTTACTGACAGCTGGTGCTTGACATTGCTACCAATAAAACCCGCTTCTGGGAAGAAAAAGAAAAAAAGAAGAAAATTTATAGCAAAGCTCAACGACGCATATGTACACTGCAGCGTCGGACATTCAAGTCGGAACGGGGACATGGGGGACCAGATGACCGGGATTTATCTTTGCTTACTTGGGGGCAGGGTTCTTTGATTTCTCGCACAATACTCATCATGAAAACATCACTGCACGTGAGCAAAGTAAACAGGCTCCCAAAAGCCCCAACTTTTGCGCTGACTTGCCCGAAATAAGTAGATGAGTTGCACACCATAGCGATGGCGCCATGTTCTTCCTCGAGTCTTGCCCAACCCTTCTTTTCCGGGAATAAAGTCAATGGTGGTAAGCATACAGAGAGGCAAAGAGAAGTGAGACAGCTTTCCGAACGGGTGATCGAGATCATGGCTCGCTCGCCGCCATAACATCCCAACCCCGGAAAAGCATAAAGTATTCTCTCTTTCAGATCGAAACACGAAAGAAAAGAGTCAACCCCGGGCTCACGCAGAGTATATCACAATCGTCCTTGCCACTAGGGGGGGAATCCCACGCATAAGAGGAGAGACGCACATGAACATTTTAGATGTGTTTCACAACTTGCGGCACCCGGTTGAGCGACTCTCCGCGCCGCGCGACTTATGCAAATGCCGCAGATCTGCGGGCACGAATCAACGGGCTTGGCTTTTCCCTTTCTCTCCAGAGGACGAAAAGCCACTCCCGGACCAACCGGGGTTCTCGTCGGGGGGTTTGTGGCGACGGTATTGTGCGTGTAAGTATTTCAATGCACCAAAGCTGTATCTGCATTGTATGGATGCATGGCTTTTGGTCCAGAGCGAGTGAGATGCATGAAAAATGACAAAAGTGAAAAAAAAAATCAAAAAAGATGCGATTTGCACTGCTGGTAAGGCAGCAGAATACCTACACTTTGATGGCTCAAACTCGACCCTATCACCTATTATGCATATGCCACGGGATTATATACCGCCCGTACTTTATACATGGTAAAAGCAGCAGCAGCGGCAGAAGTGGTAGTAGATACGCTGAACCCCGGAGCCAAGCCTGGTTTCTCGATCAGAATCAGAATCAGCAATGCTGGAAACAATAAGCATGCAATCGGTGTTGTGATTGTCTTTGTTTAATTTTTTTTTCTTCCCAAATTCCCGTCCTTCCCTCAGTTTTCACCGCAGACTCAGGTGGTGGTTGGTATACTTTCTCCATTCTTCTGGGGCTGAACGAAAAAGAGCGTAAGCGTGGGCGTGAGTGTGAGCGGGCCACAGAGGGGGAGAGAAAAAAAAAAAAGGTCCGACTTACATGACATACTGTAGCATTCTAATTTTTGGGGGGTTGCGTTCCCGGCTACATAATAGGGTATCATTCGTAGCCAGACAAGGAGCTGAGGTGTGTTAAGAAACAACCGCCTCAAAAAAGACGGTGAGTATTTTTCGGCTCTTGGATTGGATTCTTCATCTCCATTTTCTGGTTTTGATTTTCTCACTACAACGGGAAAAGTCTCTGAGACCAAAATACCTTGAGACTGAAGAAAACAACAACAACAACTGCATGCATTGAAACTAGCATCCTCTGCGGCATGTCCAGGCGAACGAATCGCTTTGCCTGCCTGCCTGCCTACATAGTACGTGCCTGTCCGGCTCCAAGCTTTTTGACATGTGTGTGCGAGCTACTGGGTACAGATGCAGGCAGTAGTAGTAGACAGGCTTTGGGTACATGGAGGGAATGTTACGAACTAAACCCGAAGACCTGACCGATGAATGCGAACGGCAGAGGGGGGGGGATTAAAAAAAAGAACACTATAGTTTTAGTTGCAGTTTCAAGACCCAAGGGAGCAAGAACCCAATTGAAGAGCAAACCGAGAGCCGCCCACCTCACGATTGTGCCAAACACTTTGGTGGTGTTTTGCCGCGCCTATCGCAAGTTGGCGCGCTGGGCAAATGCTTGTTTTCCTTTGCTTTCCTCTCTACTCGTGATACATGGCACCATTTTCTCAGACTTCCTCCAATGACTGGTCTTTGAATGGGGGGTGGGGGAAAAACAAGGGCGCCTCTACATAGTACATCTTGACCTGCATTAGACTAGAAAGAGGTCCTTAAAAAGCTGGCCTCAATGAATGGTGGTGGTGCAGCATAACGTAGCAAAGCACGCCGCCGCCGCCGCCGCAAATGCCGCAGCTGAATCTCGACTTATCGCTCATCACATGAGATGAATGCTCATCGAGCGGTATGCGCAGATCTCTCCACCGGCGGCCAGTGACTGACAGAAATAATACCGGGCCCCAAACCAGAGCCCAACTGTCTCAAGAAGCATACCGGTTGAAAATGAACAAGTGCCATTCAACAAGGTGAAACCAGAGACTTGTCCTACCTGACTTAATTACGCCTATACTAGACAATTATAGCCCGGGTGTGACTGTTGCTTGTAACACGTCACGTCGTGCGGTGATGCCCATCAATGCTAGATAGAATTGCACATAGTACTTCTTGTTAATGATTAGTTAGGTAGATATGGACGGCCTTCATAACTTGGAAAATAGTTCAGCATGTCTGAAAATCTGTGTATTACTAGTGGCCGAAGAGTGTTGATGACTTGCTAGCTTCTCTATCAAACAACGCAAGCTTCCTCAGCACATCGACTCATGACCTGGTCTGCAGGCCTGAGTATCCACCATGTCATTACTATGATGGGGTATCAACCACAAAGTACCTCACGCTCAGCTTCGTCCATCTCATCTACCAGTCGTGCAAGTCTCGCTCCCGCTGGTGTGCCATGAACCGATTCACGCGAGCACAATACACGCATGCCAAATGCGTTCCGAACAAAGAAAAAGAAAAGAGGAGGAAAAAAAAACATCGGGAAAGGGGTCATTTATTATGTACAGCGTGTCAACCCCCTCCTATCGCTTTATGATGCCCCGGCTATCAAACCTCCGCTGCTGTCATGAATGTCGCCTGGCCACGCAGTGCAGCGTGCATTACCAGTAACGCCAACATTATAAAAACCGTAGCGTGAACTTGGTATCTAGAGAAATGAATAAGGCTTGTGTATCTCTCGCCGTGTATGATAATATGTACTGCAGAAGCATGCCGAGCATCGGCTGCCTTAGTAGCCCGACTTGCCAGGCATAGGCGGCAGGCCACCTCCGGAGGACTGCAGAGGCAGATGGTTGTGGCAGTAGATCTTGCCGGCGCTCGTCTTGGTGGCATCCTTCTTGGTCGCGTCGATGAACCTCACTGGGTCATCGTAGCTCTCCAACTGGCAACATTCCACATTCTTCATCCATCGGCTATTGACGATTTCAGAAATGGTAATGCGCTTTGTTGGATCTGGATTAAGCATGTTGAGCAAAATCCGTTTCAACGGCTTCGACTGTTGGCAGGAAAAGTCGATTGGAACGAAACGAGGCAGGATATCATTGGATAGATCTGGGTTTGCAGCCTTTTTCTTGTTGTATCTTTCCCAACCTTGGACGAGCAAAGCATAGTTCTGGCTGCCCTTGACACGAGGATCGGTGCTGGCCTTTTCCCAAAGGTTTGCGCTAAACTGGAGGTAGATCATGACAATGGCAGCACTCCAAATATCGAGAGCACGTGGATCGTAGTCGGCTTCCTTACTGAGTACCTCGGGGGCAATGTAGGGCTCACTGCCGCAAATGCCGGGTTTGCAAAGACGGATTTGTCCATTCATCTGCTGACCGCACTGGCCGCGTGCTTCTCTCAGCCCAGGGTGAATGCCGGAGAAGACCTCTGAAACGCCAAAGTCGGTGATTTTGAGCTTGCTGTCCTTGGTAATAAGAAGGTTCTCCAACTTGATGTCTCGGTGCGCGATGCCGTTGCAATGCAGGTAGTTGATGCCCTGAAGCAGCTGTTTGAAGAGGCACAGACGGTCTGCGAATCTATCGTCATCTTGGAGGTACTTTTTGGAGACAAGAGAGAACAGATCGCCCTCCGAACAGTACTCCATGATGTGATTCCAGCGGCCGTGGTCGGTGCAGAGGCGGATGGTTTCCACAATGTTCGGGTGGTGCAAACTTTTGGCGATGCTGTACTCGGACTTGATCTTTTTCTCGTAGTCCTCGGTTTTCTCGTCCGACTTCTTGTTGCGGAACTCTTTGACGGCATAGAGTTCGCCCGGGGAACCCTTCCGTACCATCAGTCTGACCTTTGAAGTAGCACCCTTGCCGAGATGCTTGCCATGACGACCAAAGAGTTTGTGCTGGTGCTCAAACTCCTTTTGAAGCTCAACCACATCGACTGTGAAATCATCTGGCAAGCTCAAACTCAACCGGCGCGCCTTCATACCCGTGCCGAGCTCCGGGACCATGACAAAGGGCTGGCCAACCAAGTCTCCCTCTCCATGATGCGCAGTATGGTTCTTCTTGCGCTCAACACTCTTGACACGCCGCAGGGGCTTTGATCCATTTCCTGCAAAGTTGACCTGAGGTCGACGGTGGAAGAGACCAGTGCTGATGCGATTCTTCTTCTGGTTGTTCTTGAGAAAATCTCCTTCCGAAGGTAGGGACATTTGTGCTCCAATTCCTTTAGAAGTGGGTGGCATTTCCAAAGGAGATCCCGGTGAGGGGGGAGTACCAGAACGAGTTGTGGCCGACGAGCGCCGCCACGAAAAGCGTTGCTGACTGGTGTTTGGGGTTATTCTGATCGGGGTCGAGGCTTGGCCGTTGGTGTTGCCTTGAGAAGCGCTATAGTTAGGGTCCTTAAACTCAACAGTCGCAGCCTCTGTGACGTTGGAATTGGTGCGACGGAAGAAGCTGGCCATTTTGACGCTGAAGCTCGAGCCGCGTCGCAGTATAATACTGGGAGGACTAGTTGTGGAACCACGAGTGGAAGGCCGCCGTGCGGTCGAGGACTGCTTGTCTTTTTGCGGCGATGTTGCTTGGTCCTGGGGTTGGTATTGGTCCTGAGCCTGGGCCTGAGCTGCCGTGAGGGAATTAGTAGGTGGTGCACGCTCTCCTCCGGGTGACCTTGGAGGGGTAGCTGCTGTGTGAACTAGGAGGGGCGGTTTTGACAGGTCGTTTTCGACTTGGTGTGCAGCAGTGGTAGCCTCAGTAGAAGAGGCGAGAGAGCTGGTGTAATAATTGCGAGGCTCAGCTGCATGGAATTCGCGCGATTGTCGGCCGCTTACAGGCGTGATTGGCTCATTAGGACACTCGCTCTCAGTCTCGTCGCATTCTTCGGGAATGGGAGTGGTGAGGTCTGTAGGATAGCGGCGAGGTGAAGAGGACAGGGACTGTGTCTGGCTTTGTTCCCGAGAATTTGCAGGCGACGAGCCAGAGCCAGAGGCGGGCGTTGGGGTGTAGGTGAACTGAGATTGAGAAGGAGAAGGCGAAAGTGAATCTGCTGTGCGCGGTATTAATAAACTACTACAACTACTGCGGCAATCCACGCCATCATAAGATAGGCAAAGACAAGGAGAAAAAAAAACAAGGTGGGCGCGGGCTAAGACCAGGGAGTATAGTTACCTGTTTCTGTCGCTGGGTCCCGAGAAGAAGGCGAGGAATCCGACGTATGTATTACTAAAGGCGAGTGGCCGTAAATGGGCCGTGGCTGCGAAGACGCAGGCGGCGTGGGTATGGACAAGGGCATCGACGATGATGTAGTGGTGGTAGTAGCAGTACCTGTTGGAGCAGAAGAGGCGGCACCAACAGCTGAACTGGCGGGCAGTGGTCGCTGCTGCACTGCTGCGGCGGGTGCTCTCTGGGTCTGAGGGGCGGCCATTATTACCGTTTAAAGTCCCCGAGGGGTACCTGTACCAGTCAATCTGGGTAGGCCCTTGTCGCGTAGAAGAAGGAAAAGGTCCTTTTCTGCTCGCTCTACTATGTCTGCAGAACGAACAGAATCAGACGACAAGAGACAAGCCCTGCTGTGCTGGAATGGATGATGCGGCGGCGGTGCCGAGAGCTGGTCAGCGTGCCTCTGTTGTGTGTGGGTGGTGGAATTCTGGCGCCGAAACCTGCAACCCAGTAGGCGCTATCCCCCAGCAGCTGACCCTGTCCTGGTTTGGGTTTCTGGGATGCGGGAGTTTGTGAGTGCGAGTGTGTGCGCACGCGGGGGGGACAGGATAGACAGAGTGACCGATCCGAGAAAAAAACAGAAGAGTTCCAGTGTGCGTTTGCGAATAAACAGGTGGATGAAAACCCCCTCCTCTTGTTCGATAGATCAGTTAATTCATGCGAGGAATTCGGCCCTTCCGGTGTCTTTTTTCTGCGTTGGCGATTTTTTTTTTTATGCCTTTGGGTTTGGCACCAGCCCGCAGAAACCTCAGGTAGTGAGTATTAGGGTAAGGTATGTACCGATCGTTAAGGTAGATAGAGCAGCGACGAAGAGAATAGTCTCGGCCAGTGCGGAAATAAATATCGGTCTGGCTAAACAAGACAAGGTGACGACAACTTATCAATCAAAACGGAGGGCAAACATCAAGTTGACCCTTTTGGTGGAAAAAAGTAAGTCTCTTTTTTGTTCGGTATGCCGAGGGAGTTGCAATTCAGAGCCAAACACCTCCAACAAGTAGTAGTAGTATACGAGAGAAGAAGAAAGCAAATCAGTCCGCACAAGGTTATTGTAGGACAGGGTATGTTATGAGCAGAAAGTGATGACACGCCCAGTAAGCCCCTTTCTTGGCTCCTTCTTCGAATGTTCGGTGCAGCGTCGAATGGTGGATGGATGGTTGCGTGTGGGATGGAGGAAGTGCCGCGCTGGTCCTGATTCGAATGACAAGAAAAAAAACGCCCAGAAGAAGGACGAGTAATAGTAGCAGCAGCAGCCTTACGATCTTCACGCCAAGAAGATGAGAGAGGAAGAGAGGGAAAAAAAGGGAAACAACCCAGCAGCGCAAGGGGGGGTGTGGGCGAGGGGCCACCAGACAGATTATATGAACAGATGAGGCATATCTCTTCTTGGGTATTAGCGAGTAAAAGACGAACAGGCTCGTCAAACTTGTGTTGATCTTGGTCTGTTGTGTCCAGTCCAGTCTGGTCTGCTGCAGGACTACCTAGTTACATTGCGTCTTCTCAGAAACGGACTTGGGTCTGGAAACACAACCAAGGGAATGGGGTTGGCTAGAGGACACTGATGAGGGTGGGTAATAATGCACCGCGCATACAGGTTAGTATGCGCATAGTACAAAGTACTCTCACGATGGATCAAAGACCCAGATCAGATGCGCCCTGGGGAGTGGTTGAGTGGCTGCTGGCACTGGCTGAAAGGGCATGTACGTAAGTAGAGTAGACCGTGGTAGTACCACCTATCTTCCTACAGCAGCATGTACAACAGGCGAGACGTGGGGCAGAACGACGGCGGCAATATGAGCATCCGGGGTTCACACTTGACTCTGGCCCATACGGGAATAGTAGGTACAGTAGGTCGTGATTCTGATTGAGATCGAGGGAAATAATAACAGCGACAGTATCAATGTACATAATGATAATAATGGGTGTGAGCGAGCGAATCGCCAGCGCGGCAGGCAGGGGTCCCAAAAGGGGTCCTAGGCTTAGGTAGATCAAGGTAGGTCACGCATAGAAGAAACCACCGAAACGTAACCTGGCGAGCCTAGGTTGGTTATTACTCGATAGGTGGGTAGGGTTTTCTCGACTTTCTTCGACTTCTTCCACCGCAAAGCTCGGACGTGCAAGGTGGTTTTTCTTCTGGGGCCACGAGTGGATATTGGTAATGAAATAACAATGCGAGTGCTGGTTGGCAGACGATTGAACAACCAGAATTCCCGTGGGATTGCGAGAAACTGGCAAGGGGGAAACAAAATGGCGGGTCCCCTATGCTTTTTTCTCTCTGGGGGAGAAAAAAGTATCGGATACCTCTGCAGTGGAGCTTGATCGCTTATGTATGTGTGTAACCAATGATTGAGGCTTTCGAGATTGGGGTCCCCAGTGGACGATGCCTCGGTGTGGATAAAGTTGAGTTCGGTTGAGAGGGTGGGTTGGTTCGATAGAATAAATACCTAATAATATTAATCGATCTTAACCAGTGTTGCATGGCATTGGCATCTTCGAAACTGGGAGCGCCATGGTAGACGGTCGGCACATGTGTTCCTTCAAACCTCATACATCATAAGTACTTTGCAGAACGAGTTTATTTTCTTTCTTTCTCGATGAATGTTGAACGTTCCGTCGTGGCACGCCTTGCAATTTTCATGATTACTATCTCTCCCGCGAGAAAAGTCACACACACATACACACACACACGGCAGAGTAAAAATCTTAGATATACTTTACATGGCTTGGTCTTTGGTGTGAAGTTGCGATAGTCGGCGCATAACCCTACAGCAGCCAAAGTCCCCTTACCAAATCCGGTAACTTTTCATTCCACTAAAGCCCGCCACTCATAAAGTGCCCCCCCAGCGGACTTTTCTTGGTATCTATTTGCGAGGCAGTCTGGGAGACTTTTTGGCATTTTTACTATCATTATCTTGGTCGTACCGAGAGGGATTGGGGTGCTTCAGACACTAAAACGTGCGTTTGAAACACCGGGTTTTATTTCAATGACAAGCACACGCATTCTTGTTATACGCCCGTGTTACAATGCCTTGAGCGAACAGGAACATGACTTTCTTGAAAGTGTATAACGTCGCTGTGCTGACCGCGAGACCGTACCGCATCTGCCAGCAGGAATTTTTTTTTTTGGGGGGGGGGGGGGGGGGGCGGGGTGCGTTTGGTTTGAATATGCTAGACATGTACATTAAAGGTAGGTGTGTGTGAGAGAGAATTCGCACAGAATTCCCGCTACGGTAAAAATACACTGCAGGAATTTCGTAGCGCCTGGGCAATCGTCAATTTCCAAATCCAATACCGACGACGGGCTTCCTTTTCTTCTACGTATCGTACTTCTTCTCATTCGCGGCATGGCAATTGCCCACATTCATTGCGACTTGCGTTCGCCAAGTGTGAGAAAGCATCCACACAGGCTACTATCTGCCCAGAGCCCACATCGTGGCCCATGATCAGTCCGGCTATTGCGCCATGGCAAGACCCGAGTGTCTATTTCTATTTATGTATGACCCCTCCGAGGTTGACGGCAAGACAGTTCACGAGTGAAGAGTAGTAACAACTACTAGACACCCGTTGAAAGCCACGTATGAATTTGTATTGTTGACATGCACGGCGGCGGAGCTCATCTCTTGGTATACATACCTCTCTTTCTATTGTGTATGCTTTGGAGTGAGCGCAATAATCAGACGTCCCTTCGTCCGAAGATCTATCTCCATTCAGGGTCCGACTTACTGCGCATCTGTGAAAGATTCAATCAACCATGAGAAATTTACTGGCAATACCAAGCATTGGCACATTGTTGACTATGGAACAATTGCTCTTGGCGACAATGTTGCGATAGTGAGACGGCCTTAGCTTTCCCCACGAACCGCGATCGACAAAAACTTCTTTCTTCGCCTATCTTGGCCCTATGGCGAAATGATGAGTTGTCGAATAGTCGTCGTCTTCTCAGGTCATGCATCATGTCGTATGCTATGTACTTGTCTGGGTCCCTTATGGATAGACTGAATGATACTTTGTACTCTTGCTTCCCCTGCTTGACCTTGGCGTTACGCAGTCATAGCAATCATTCATTCACGTTATGATGGTAGTCATCAATGACCGACCAGTCGTGATTGGCGAGACGAAGAATATTTCAGCAGCGCCTCTTTTTTGTTTATTTCAATTTTTTCCCTCCCTCTTGGGCGCGCGTGTACTGAATACCTCGAGACGAGTTGACAGCATGACGACCTAACCTGACCAAGTAAAGGCTGTAGTCAAAGAACTCCAGAAAATGCAACCGCCCTGCGTCATATGCTGGCAAGGAGGTGGGGGTGTCGTCGGTCTTTCGGCCAATTTCCTGATAGCGACTGGATGCAAAGGCAAACAAGACAGAAGAGTGGTGAATCCAGTTGCCAGCGGCAGTTCGACGATGCTACGTTTCCGGTTCGCTGGTAGTGCTAGCCTCTAGTTACATGTCTTAGTTGCTTAGGCTTTAGCAGTCTCCAACGTGGGTATTCATGTCAGCCGTGGGATTTGCTAGGTATTGGGTTCGTCTGTCACCAGACCATTACATCATCTCCATGGGAACGTCTCCATTGTTCGTGTGAGCTTGCAAAGCGCCTTCGTCCAATGCGCTGGCCGCCCTTGTGAGGCAGGCAGACAGTCAGTCAGGCTGGCTGACTGGCTGGCATGGCATGGCTGGTGGTTGGCAGGGCAGGAGACGCGGGAGAGACCCAGAATTCCCTATTTCGGCGCCGGAGACACGAGCCTGAAGGGAAGGGAAGGGTCTGGTCTGGTGGGCCATTGATCCAATTCTTATCCTCGATTACTTAGCTCCAGTGGTGACCGACCGATACACTTTTTCCTTAGCCCTGCCGATGGGATGGGTGCGGGCTTAGTGCGGTCAAATGAACAGCAGCCGTTTTAGTCTTCTTACATTATTCAATGACTGGCTCAAACCTCGTCCTATCAACTGGTGCACGAGTGGGCAAAGACTCAACGGACGTTGCGGGCACGATGCGATGGACAGAGAAGGATGAACCATGAAAACAAGATCATCGTGGATTGCAGCAGTAATGTGACTTGATGTAGGGCAGCAAGACCCAAAGGAAACTGTCTCGTTGGAAGACGAAAATGGGCGGTCAACACCCGAGTTGTCAGCTAAAACGACACCGCGCCTTGCGACTGACTTTTCAATACTACATCCTATTACTACATGTACTTACTACGCTACGACAATGACAAATGTATGTACCTAAGGCATCTTGAGCCCCCTCCAAACGCTGTTGGAAGGAAGGGAAGCCCCCGCGCGAGTGTGTCACACTCCTTCCCAAGCTCCCCAGGTTTTTCCTCAGCTGGGCATGCAATTCCGAGACACTCCCATCATTCAATTCAATGATTCGTTTGGAGGTGCAGGAGACCAGAAAAAAAATACGGAGCCGTCTCCCAGACCGTTGGCGGTTTTCTTAGCCACAACAGACATTGTCATGTCACCAAACATATCATCACCAAAACAAGTAAAGATAGCAAAGTATATGCAAATACTTGCTTGAATAATACCAAGGACGCGGCGGTTCAATTGGCATTCATTCTCACCCAGCTGTTTCAGAGGGCCGGGCCAGCCAGCGCCAGCCAGCGCCGGCCAACGTTGCACCAGGGCGGGCGGTAGGAGATCTGCACGCAGTGTCCTCGAGATGGACTCAAGGTTGCGCAGCCAAGCAGTGCACGACGACTGCCAAGGAGTATCAAATCTCGGTCCATCTCAAAAATCTGGCTGAGAATAGCTGACTTCGCTAACCTATCGAAGGGGGGAAACATCTCGTACTTCGTACATATATTACACGGCAGACTAACGTAATCTCGATCCGCCAGACCGCAGGACTGCTTGGCGATGGCGCGCAGACAGAAAGAAGGGGACCTTGGGACTTGAGAGCATCTTTGAGGTCCCGGGTTTGCAAGTGGTGCCCGCGATGATTATGACGATAATGATGATATGGCTGGCTGAAGTGCCTCCTTTTCTTTTCCAATGCATGTCAATGCCCGCCCATACAAGTACGTACAATCAATGACCGGGGCCCAGACCCAGATAATGTCATGCAATGCTCCCCCCCAGGAATGTCACTTCCGGAAGCTGAGGGTTGTCAACTCGAGATCGGCCGGGCTGTATTCGGCATGCCGGTGCACTGTGTCCTGGCCAATCACCAAGAGTCTTGATTGGAGTTTCTAGAGTTACACAGCACTCCTCACACACCAAAAAGCGTACGGCTTGCAATTACCCCCACGGAAAATCATGGTTCCTTTAGACCGGGTTCGCTTCGTCCCTGCAGCCCACAGGCGCAAGTGACGAGCGAATCGTGCAGTTCTTCAAACAATGACCGCCAAGGCGCCTGTCTGGCGAACCTTCAACGCCTACTCCTGCATTAGAGGGTGTCCGTCTCTTGCGTCTCTTGCGTCTCTTGCTACTGTACCCCTTCGCCAAGCCGCAGCAGCCCGTCTGCCGTCTTGGCCTCCCCGGAGAAACAGAACTGCCTATAGCGAATTAGTCTTTGTTCGTCAAACGCCGGGCGGGCCAAGTCGACAAAGGTAAGAAGAAAAAAAAACCATTGCAAATTACATGCGCGAGTCACTGTCTTCATCAGTGGAACAATAGTGCTGGGCGTAACGACTTGGCAAAGGCAGTAGGCCTTTGGAGGCTCTTGGCCGAGTACAAGATCGGCAAGTGTTGCTTTGACCTTGCGGTTTCAATCTGCTGAGTCTACCACATCAAAAAGTACGAGGCGTCGTTATGCTCTTCGCTGCATTTTCGTGTTCTCATTGGGACGAGAGACAAAAATTTGGTGCTTGTTCTTCATTTCATCGCCAGCCAACAGGAAACATCCAAGAGCACCGATTGCTGCCGCAATATGATCTTCCCGCGACTCCTCAGGCTGTGAAACCTTGGGTCGTGTTCTCAGGGGGGGGCATGACCTCAAACTGCTGATATGCCCTTTTCTTTCAAGAAACGGTGTCTCAGATGGAGATGTGTTCAATCGTGGCCGAGAGAACCTTCCTCCAAGGAATCCTTTTCGTCTCGGTTTGCCAAGGGCTGCATGGTGATACTATTGTGCTTCCTACACGGAACTATTGGCAAAAAGAACAAAACGGGCTGGTCGTCATCTATCTAGATTGAGCCGTGCAAACATTGACGCGGACGAGATGCTTTGGTGATGCCGCCTGGGCCCCCCGTGTCCCCCACGTCCCACAGTCTCCATGCGGAGGTGGCTTTGATGGGAACTATCGTGAAGGCATAATAATTGTTGGGGTGAAACTTCCGGAAGGCCCCAAGATTAAGGTCCAGAACTCTCTCAGGGCTGAACATCTACCGCTGCCAAGTCCGGGTGTTTGAATCTTCTTCTTAAGCTTTGCAATCCCAACGGGTAAGAGGTATTTGCAGGGGTTTGTGGAGTAAGCTTTTCCAGAAGTTATATGGGTAAGGTGAAGGACGTTCGGATTCAAACGCGGGCTGTCTTCTCATCCTTCAGGGCTTCATCGCCGACCAATGTGGTGATCTCTGAAAGGATTCTTACAGGGAACGAACAGGCTCTTGTCACCCTTTTTTGACCCCGTGTCGATGATCGCCCTCCACTGCCGTACTTGCCAAGGGATTCGCCGCGGGACAAGATCAGATTTCTCAGGTGCCAAGCCGCGAATCCTCGAACACAATGTCGGCCCGGCCACCTTGGCATGCGCCTCTGCACATAAACAAATTCAGTTTGTCTTCATCAAAAGGACTGCCAAGTTTGCCAAGTTGAACGTTCTGAGAATTTGATCGACGATCCCGGAGGAAGCCAAGCAGACATATTTGCCATCGTGGCAGATTCAAACACGATATAAGAGGCCCAGTCAAGACGGGAATGTGCGACGACCAATCCTTCTCGTAGATCCTTTCTCTTGGCCTCTGAGCCCTCTGCGCAATCTACGTGCGGTGTAACAGAAGTACTGCAGACGGGAGAAAACTCTTTTCCCTTCTACAGAAATATTTTCTCATTCTTTTTGCCGCTGCGTGAAAATAATACTGCCAAGCATGCACGAGACGGTTGGCATGGTGCAATAGACACGAAGATAAAGTGGGCGCGTGATTTATCATTCTTATTTTTCTATGACAAGCCGGGACGAGTTGTCACCATATACCCGCAAATCGAGCCGCCGGGCGTTGTGTGTCTTCTCATGTGACCATATGGCTATTGGTAGAACAGAATGATTCATTTATATTCCATGTAGTTTCCTGGCTACATTGTTGGATGAGTATGGGCCACAAAGTACCAAGATTTGCGTCATTGCCAATGCCGCAACCTCGTGTACAAATGTGATCCAAGGCATATATCTCACGGAAGTCTGTGGGTTTTTGGATGGATACTAAGAAGAACAGCGTGCTTGATGGTTCTATGCGTTGATATGTTTTGCAGCAGTTTGGATCTACGTTGCTCGAAAGTTTTGATGTCAATAATGAAAAGCAATTTCAGCGGTTTGAACGTCACACGGGGGATTCTTTCATAAAAGAGAAAGTCCTTGGCATGATTTTTGCTTCTGGGGATACTTTGAAGAAATTACTACACGTCACTGATTTCACAATGGCAAAGTGTGTGTATTTTCTGTATTCGCTGCTCGAGAGACACGGCTGTGTTTCCTGGGTTGTCGATTTACGCTCTCAGCGTCTTTACCATATCAACGACAAACAGACTTTACCATCCTACTTTCCTCCTTCTCAATACTTTGGGAAATAATAGAACCACGGAGGATAAACTCCAACATGACAAGAAATTTCTCTCAACCATCATTTTCAAGGCTACAAGTCAAGGCTCTCGTGATCACTCGCTCAGAACAGTGGCCTGGTCTC